GTGTTTTTTATATATATATATATATATATATATATATATATATATATTTTATACTTTTAAGATATGTACACTTTAAGTGTACATTCAATACAACAAATCATACTAATAATTACAATTACAATAGAATTTGACATTTTAGATAATGTCAATATGTTAATATTGTACGGTTTAGTCTTAGTTTGGACTTAAAAAAGCAAAATCTTTGAACATTTTAATATATTTTATATGGAATTAGAATATTAGCCTTTGGATATTGTTGAAGTCATTAAACTTTGTGTTACTTTGTGTTACCTACTTCTGTCAATGTTCAGCTCGCAGTTTAATGAGGTGTTTCATTGATTTGTCAACCGAACTTGAGTAAAGTCACCACATGATGAAAAAGTGTGGTACGACACATGGTACGCTTAGGTCAACAGCTATTCCAAGGCAAATATTAGTTTGCCTGCTGCATCATAAGAAGAGCTGCCTGGTTTTAATATTAGTGCGGTTTGTGTTTAGCCGTTTGCAATAACTGTAAAAGCATCTGTTACAGCTAACATGGCTGTTTTAATGCAAACGGAGTCGCGAAGTACACTAGGGAAGTGCCATCGAGGCTTCAGTTTTAAATCAGAAGTCACAGCCAGTTTCACCACATCATCATTTACCCTTCTTTCTTTAAAAGCCTTATGTTTAGACCACAACTAAAACAGCTTTGACCTATGATAGTTTCGCATTACAACAATATGATATTAATTCATATATTGACAACAAACCCACAAAAAAAACCTTGACGCATTACCATAGAGCATTTCATGTTCCCAAACGCCCATCAAACAACCCATATTTTCGAGGTTTGGGTGAGACATGTTGTTGTAAAACTAAATGCAAATGGAACATTTTTGAGTTTGTATGTCATTGCAAGTGAAGGAATGCAATAATGTGTTTCATGGTGATATAAAAGTCTCTTTTTAGAGGTACAGGGCCTTGCTTACTCACATTCAAATAATTCCACATGGTGCTGCGCACCCAGCATCTACATGTTATAACGCCGGCGCTAGGAAAAAACATTCACTTTAGTAGCTGATGTAGCCGATCAAGGGATCTATTGAACCAGTTAATTTAAAAAACTAGACCATTTGGCAATTGCCATAAAGTCTGGTGCAAATCGTTGCATATTCTGACCAAGAACCACCCACTTAAACATCCACCAATCGATATCCATCACAGAAAGTTGCGTTTGCTTTGTAATGAGAAGTAAATGAGGCTTCATTCCGGCTTCTGAAACTTCTGTTTCTAATTCACGTTATGTACACACAGCCATGTGTGCAGTCTGAAATCTGCATAGAGCCTACACACAATTATGGAGATCCTACACCGCCATTTAGTGAGAGTAAATATTTGACCAATTTTGAGACATGACATGATGACTGAATTTTTATGTGAATTATTATTTTAAAGGAAAATGAAAATTCACTGAAAACTGACTCACTCTCAAGCCATTCAAGATGTAGATAAGTTTGTTTTTTCATCAGATTTGGAGAAATGCAGAATTACATCACTGTCTCACCAATGGATGTGGATGGGTGCCGTCAGAATGAGAGTCCAAACAGCTGATAAAAACATCACAATAATCCACACCACTCCAGTCCATCAGTTAATGTCTTGTCTAAGCCAAAAGCAGTGTGTTTGCAAGAAACAAATCCATTATTTAGATGTTTGGTTTTTGTTTTTGATGAATTCTTCCCTAAAATTGAGTCTAAAATCCATAATAATGCTCAGTCCATCTCCTGTTGTTTCTCACACAAAAAAATCCACCTACATATCTGTTTAAAACTGTTTTGGCTTGTAAACAGTACTTGATCTGTGTAGATTTCTCTCCTGATTCAGATTAGATTACTTTTTCACTAGAGGAAACAATATTGAGTTTTTGACGGCACCCATTCACTGCAGAGGATCCATCGGTGAGCAAGTGGTGTAATGCTTCATTTCTCCAAATCTGTTCAGATGAAGGAACAAACTCATCCACATATTGGATAGCCTGAGGGTGAGCACATTTTTTTTTTAAGAAATTGATACTTTTATTTACGAAGGATGCATTAAATTAATTGAACTCATTCAAAATGTAAAGCGAAAGTAGTAATTATCAAAAGTTTCAAGTGAAACTTGACGAAAAAAGTGTTTTATTATTTTGAAGTGTAGACCAAAAATAGCAATTTTCAAAAGCTTCAAGTAAAGTTAAAACTATTTATGTTCCATATGAACCAATTAACTTGCAATCGAAAGCAAACATACAAAACTAAAGATTTATGCAAAAACTGTAAATTTTTCAAAGCTACAGCAGCTTGTGTGTATAATCTATGATTCTCATGAGAATCATGAGCCTGGACGTTGCAGGTTGAATGTGGCACTGGCATGGCATCCATAAGGATGGGAGTAGGGTTGTGCCTGTTGCCTAAACCCCAATTTTACAGTAGGAAGGACTGAAACATCTGGAGGTTAACCACTATGCTGGGATCACCAGTTAAATGGTGGTGGGCCTGGGCTGCGGTTCAAACCCAGCATCTCTTGGCCCCTTTTCTGCAGCAGGGGTACCGGCGCGATTGCATGGAAAAGCAGTTAAAGTGGCTACGGCAATAGTGATGAACAAGTATCCATCAGGACTCTCCTGGAGATGATGGTTGTGTTGCCATGTTGGAGTTCAACGAATAAGAACTCAACATGACCTCTGTTTTTTTTCTCTAGAAAAGCAGGGTCATGGAGTGGATCATGTTAAATCCATTGTCAAACCTTGTGGTAAACTCAGACTCGGCTGTTCAGGATGCTTACATTCAGCAAGCAGCTTTCGCTCGATGTCAACCTTTTGTTCCCCCAAAGCTGATTGCTCTGGAGACTTTGTGTCTTGTAATGCATTTATATCTATTTTGGGACATCATACACCAGAGCATGAACTCTGGTTCATGGATTTTTATTTTTTTTTTCATTATTAGTCAGGTTGGGAACAGAGAACTAGTTCCATTTAAGTTCCACTAAATCCATTTAAAATAAATAAATAAAGGTTTGGTTCTGTTAAAAGTTCACCTAACGGTTCTCTCTTGTACATTATGACACGGTTGTGAATAGAATACTGTAATGGCCAGATTTACTAACAGCTTGTGTCAGTGCAAACCCTCTTCTGTCATGATTTACGAAAGACAAATTTGCAAGGAAAAGGCATGGACATATTGCATATGCATATTGCATATTTTTGCAGGTGACCTTATTGCATATGCATTTGTAAAATTGATCGGAGGAGAGTATTTCAGTAATTCACCATACAAGATTTACTACACGTGTCCATGGTAGTCAGTATTTGCGCAATTACTTAACAATAAAAACTTAATAAAACTACTTAATAAAAAAACATGTCTTAAATTTTACTCCTGTGTTGTTAGTAGTTTACCTGCTACTGATTATCAATTTGCGCTGCTCTTGGTAGATTTCGTTGGTCATTATGATCGAAATGATCTGGCTGCATCTGTGTTCTTTAAGGGTAGTTTACTTAAACAACAATCAATCTGCTAAAAATGGAAACGTTTTTCCTTTTTTGTTTTTTCGCATTTTTTTCCTTTTTCCTTTTTTCGTATAGACAACAACATAGTCAAAACAATCCCTGTTCACACGGATTTGCAAACATGACTTCAAATACTGCATTATGAGTGCCAGGCCAGTAGATGGCGATAGTAAAGAAACACAATATGCAAACATGCAATACATATGTGCGTGACATCACCGTTTTCACAAATTTGCACTTTGTAGTTTACACGGAGATGATAATGGTATCATAAAAATAATTATTTTTTTAAAAACATGCACATTGAAACCCGTTTTTTAAAAGTTTGCATTTTCAGTCCCCCAAAATGCCACTGTTGTGTAAATGAATGGCCAAAATGCATTAAAAAGTCTCAATTTTTTTGTTGAAAACAGTATTATGTAGTCTCCTAATTCACTCATTAAACTCTTGCAGAAATTTCCGCACCCATAAGCGCTTTTATGGGATGGCTCTCTTGCTAATTTGCCCTGTTTAGTAAATCTGGCCCTATTTTTCTTGCGATATTTATTGAACATTGCTACTGAATCTTCAGCACAAAATGATAACACAACCAGTGTAGTCTGATTCCTGAATGAATGACTGTAATGAGTTGATTCTTTGTAATGAATCACACAATTGTGAGACTACTGACTAGTTATTCATATGACAACATGGAATTAAAGATACATATCATTTATAAAATGTGCATACAAATAAACTAAACCTTTTTTATTTTCTGCATTTTTGCTATAGATAGTTAGGATCAATTAAACTATGAAAAAAATGCCAAAACCATCTGTTTAAAACTAGTGTTGTCAAACGATTAATCGCGATTAATCGCATCCAAAATAAAAGTTTTTGTTTACATAATATATGTGTGTGTACTGTGTATATTTATTATGTATATATAAATACACACACATGCATGTATACATTTAAGAAAAATATGTTGTTTATATGTTAAATATATTTATATATAATATAAAATATAAGAATATAAATATATAAATGTATATACATGTCAGTATTTTCTAAATATATACTGTATGTGTGTGTATTTATATATACATAATAAATCTACACATACATATATTATGTAAACAAAAACTTTTATTTTGGATGCGATTAATCGTTTGACAGCACTATTTAAAACATAACTTGCATTGCATTTCCCCCCTCAAAATTTCGTAAAACCACTTAAAGAATCATTAATGGATTCTGTCATCATTCAGCAATTTCTAAAATGAGTCTGGCTTTTCATTTCAGTGCTTCCTTCAAGTTAAGACAAGTGCACAAAATTATAATTGTAAAAAGAGAAAATAATTAGCTATTCCACCAAACAATGCAGGTTATTAATAAATCATATCTTGCTTAGAAAGAGGAATCACCTCAAATCTCAATTTGTCCTCAAAGACATAAAAAAAAATGAACATTGTGTCTTTCATATCTTTCCAAACCATAAGACTTTACAGTAACACTTTATATAAAGCATTTACGTGTAATGCATTATAAAGGATTATTAATGCATTATATCTTGTGGTAAATAATTATAACCAAATTAAAAATGAATAGATAAGTGTTGTATTAATGCACTAACTGTGGTTACAATTATTCATGAGGTTGTACAAGGAGCATTACAAAGCATAATTAATGCTACTGAACTACGTTTATAATGCATTATGCATAATGGCTTTAAGTAAAGTGTTACCGACTTTACTTTTTTGGTAGAACACAAAAGAAGAAATTTTAAAGAATGTTCAAGCTGCTCATTTCCATCCAATCCAAGTCAGTGGGAATCAAATTTTGTTGTATGGAAAAGAGCAGCATCAACACTCTTCAAAACGTCTTCTTGTTTGTTCTACGGTTTTAATGCCAGATTTTGTAGTTTTTATTGTGTGTGTCTGTGTGCGTGTGTGTATTATTTCATAAATTAGACATTACACACTCTTAAAGTTTTTATTCACTTGGATATTTTGTCAAGCTTCAAAGGTATTTAAAATATCAGTATTGTATAACTCGCTACTGTTATTTCTGTTACTTAATATGTTTAGCTTCATTCTGTTCATTTTAAAAATATGTATTCCTCATTAATGGGCTGCAGAAGCAATCTTGGTTGACTTCATGCGGTCTGATCATTTTTTTCGACGTTCTTAGATTCATATATTCCATGAGTCATGCACTGTGTCTGACATTAGCTCAAATTCGAGAAAGGGGAAAAAAAAGGAAAAGCGGGTTGGTGTTTTATATGTTTTGCCAGTAAAGTCTATTGAGGAGCGGAAGGGAGCCCTTGCAGTGACCGGGAAAGCCGGCGGCTATAAACCAAATGCTCTCGGCTTTATAAGACTCGGGGCCACCATCTCTCTACGAGGAGATTTTTTTCTGAATTATTACCATCATTTGTCATCACATTAGAGGCTGGCTCCGATCCTGGGAAGCTGAGCTTTTAAAACAGTCCTGCCACAATCAGAATCCGGTCCAGTTGACACTCACGAACCTAAAAACTTCAGTCTTTTAAACATGCATGGCGGTCACTTTGTGCTATATATAGACCCTCTTACCTCACAGAAAAAAAAACAAAAAAAACCGCCCTACTGTACTTCCTTTTACGAGAGCACTTGAGAAAGAGCTGGCTGGCGATATGCAAACAATCACACGATAAGTGGATGTCCGTGGTTGAGGCCATATAATAAAAACATAAAGTTATCGGGCCAAGTTTAGAAGAATCGAAGCGTTTGTAGTGCTTCTGCTTTCAAAACTTTTTTTAAAATCAAAATAAAGCTCAAATAATTAAATAATAACAATAACATGTAAATATTACACAGTTTGGGGACCAGTTGTCACTGCCTCAATCAATTTGTAATTAGCTGCTTATTAATAGTTAGTAAGGTAGTTGTTAAGTAGAATTAAAGGATGTAAAATATGGTCATGCAGAATAAGGCATTAATATGTGCTTTATAAGTACTAATAAACAGCCAAAATCATGTTAATAGTGTTAATAGTGAATTTCTCCATACACTGTTACCAAACATTATCTTTGCATTATCTAAAAATTGGAAAGATTTGTTCAACTGAAGCAGTAAAATGAATTGAAATGAAGCTAAAATAAAACATAAATATTAGATAAAAAAGCAATATTAGAGTAAGTTTAAACTAAAAGGAATATGTTGAAGTTAAAGCACTAAAACTAACTAAAATAAAGCTGAAACAAAATAAAACCTAAATATTAAATAGCATAAAAGGAAAATAAGCAATGCTAAACATGGTGAATACGGTAAATGTGATACATATATGTTAAGTTAAAAGGAAATGTTAAAATAATTTTAACTGCAATAAATGCAATTTGTAGCACCGACAAATAATGAAACTAAATGATAACAAAATATATATTAAATAAAAACTTCGAGTAAGTAAAGTTAAATGTTGAAATAATTTGAAAAGAAATACTGAAACAAGTTTAAGTGGAATAAGATAAAGTACTATAACCACTAACTGGAAATAAAGGCACAGCTAAATTAAAGAGAGAGAGAGAGAGAGAGAGAGAGAGAGCGAGAGACAGAAAGAAAGAAACAGGAGGAGATATGTAAAAGTTTTTTTTTTTTTTTTTACCAGAGGCTAAAAAAACACTCATTTGGAAATGCATGTGTTTTTGGATGTGTTTTTGACAGTTAATAAACTTTAATGTCAATCATTTTGTTAATTTATGCAAAAGTACTTTCTCAGAACGTGATTTACCTCAGATGTTTGATAGATAGATAGATAGATAGATAGATAGATAGACAGAT